TAGATGACACTGTGACTGTACCGGTTTCAGAAGTTGACGAAACCTCAACTGTAGGTAGGTATAGGATTCATATAATTGAATCATTTAGATTTAATTCCATATACTAGTATCAAACTTTGAAGTTCATATCTTACCCAATTTCCGGCCAACTCTGTTGGTTTCAAGTGGAGGACGGAAAGTGTATGTATTAATCGGAATATGTCCACATGTTCCCGTAACAGTATGTAAATAATATTTTATTTTCTGCAAGAGGAAACAGCAGAAACTAAAAAAGAGACGATAACCGGAGACTCGCATGACTATTCCCTCATGGTGTACATTTCATAAACGCATTCATTCAGCAAAACAACCAAAGTAAAGATTTGACACATTTGTCTTTATGCATGCTCCGTAGTGTGGTTCTATAAATACATCAGAATACGTAAACACGTTAAGTCAACAGTATGCAAATATTGTTTGGTGAAAGGTGGAGGAAACAGGAAAATATTCAGAATTGTTGTTATTTTTTTAATAAACATCACATATATTTTAGATGACACTGTGACTGTACCGGTTTCAGAAGTTGATGAAACCTCAAATGTAGGTAAGTATAGCATTCATATAATTGAATCGTTTAGATTTAATTCCATATACTAGTATCAAACTTTGAAGTTCATATCTTACCCAATTTCCGGCCAACTCTGTTGGTTTCAAGTGGAGGACGGAAAGTGTATGTATTAATCGGAATATGTCCACATGTTCCCGTAACAGTATGTAAATATTATTTCATTTTCTGCAAGAGGAAACAGCAGAAACTAAAACAGAGACGATAACCGGAGACTCGCATGACTATTCCCTCATGGTGTACATTTCATAAACGCATTCATTCAGCAAAACAACCAAAGTAAAGATTTGACACATTTGTCTTTATGCATGCTCCGTAGTGTGGTTCTATAAATACATCAGAATACGTAAACACGTTAAGTCAACAGTATGCAAATATTGTTTGGTAAAGGTGGAGGAAACAGGAAAATATTCAGAATTGTTGTTATTTTTTTAATAAACATCACATATATTTTAGATGACACTGTGACTGTACCGGTTTCAGAAGTTGACGAAACTTCAACTGTAGGTAAGTATATGATTCATATAATTGAATCGTTTAGATTTAATTCCATATACTAGTATCAAACTTTGAAGTTCATATCTTACCCAATTCCGGCCAACTCTGTTGGTTTCAAGTGAAGGACGGAAAGTGTATGTATTAATCGGAATATGTCCACATGTTCCCGTAACAGTATGTAAATATTATTTCATTTTCTGCAAGAGGAAACAGCAGAAACTAAAACAGAGACGATAACCGGAGACTCGCATGACTATTCCCTCACGGTGTACATTTCGGTGTACACGTTAAGTCAACAGTATGCAAATATTGTTTGGTGAAGGTGGAGGAAACAGGAAAATATTCAGAATTGTTGTTATTTTTTTAATAAACATCACATATATTTTAGATGACACTGTGACTGTACCGGTTTCAGAAGTTGAAGAAACCTCAACTGTAGGTAAGTATATGATTCATATAATTGAATCGTTTAGATTTAATTCCATATACTAGTATCAAACTTTGAAGTTCATATCCTACCCAATTTCCGGCCAACTCTGTTGGTTTCAAGTGAAGGACGGAAAGTGTATGTATTAATCGGAATATGTCCACATGTTCCCGTAACAGTATGTAAATATTATTTCATTTTCTGCAAGAGGAAACAGCAGAAACTAAAACAGAGACGATAACGGGAGACTCGCATGACTATTCCCTCACGGTGTACATTTCGGTGTACACGTTAAGTCAACAGTATGCAAATATTGTTTGGTGAAGGTGGAGGAAACAGGAAAATATTCAGAATTGTTGTTATTTTTTTAATAAACATCACATATATTTTAGATGACACTGTGACTGTACCGGTTTCAGAAGTTGAAGAAACCTCAACTGTAGGTAAGTATATGATTCATATAATTGAATCGTTTAGATTCAATTCCATATACTAGTATCAAACTTTGAAGTTCATATCTTACCCAATTTCCGGCCAACTCTGTTGGTTTCAAGTGAAGGACGGAAAGTGTATGTATTAATCGGAATATGTCCAAATGTTCCCGTAACAGTATGTAAATATTATTTCATTTTCTGCAAGAGGAAACAGCAGAAACTAAAACAGAGACGATAACCGGGGACTCGCATGACTATTCCCTCACGGTGTACATTTCATAAACGCATTCATTCAGCAAAACAACCAAAGTAAAGATTTGACACATTTGTCTTTATGCATGCTCCGTAGTGTGGTTCTATAAATACATCAGAATACGTAAACACGTTAAGTCAACAGTATGCAAATATTGTTTGGTAAAGGTGGAGGAAACAGGAAAATATTCAGAATTGTTGTTATTTTTTTAATAAACATCACATATATTTTAGATGACACTGTGACTGTACCGGTTTCAGAAGTTGAAGAAACCTCAACTGTAGGTAAGTATATGATTCATATAATTGAATCGTTTAGATTATATTCCATATACTAGTATCAAACTTTGAAGTTCATATCTTACCCAATTTCCGGCCAACTCTGTTGGTTTCAAGTGAAGGACGGAAAGTGTATGTATTAATCGGAATATGTCCACATGTTCCCGTAACAGTATGTAAATATTATTTCATTTTCTGCAAGAGGAAACAGCAGAAACTAAAACAGAGACGATAACCGGAGACTCGCATGCCTATTCCCTCACGGTGTACATTTCATAAACGCATTCATTCAGCAAAACAACCAAAGTAAAGTTTTGACACATTTGTCTTTATGCATGTTCGGTAGTGTAGTTGTATACAAATATTTCGTTATTAAAACTTAATCCACCACCTATATTTTGATTCAACGTATATGAATATCATTAACACAGTTCATACGACGTACGTTTCGACTGTGAGAGAGGATCAGACCACATTTGAGCCAGTCCCATTCAGCAACTCAAACGGTGATCACGATGATACAACGCCTGGTATATGTGTGCGTGTGTGCGTGTGTGCGTTTGCGTGGGGGGTGCGTGCGTGTGTGTGTGTGTGTTTCTGGAAGGCATATTTCTTTTTGTGAAGTGCGTGTCATGAAGTTTGTCTTTCTCTCATTTTCATTTTCACACACTTGCCAATTATGAGTAATGGTTATCTCACCTAACTGAAAGTCAAATCGTCTCATGTTGTGGTGCGTTGTCGTCCGTTCATCCATCTTGATATATAATTTTGTTACAGTTAACCCCCGCCAAAATCACCCCTCATGATTATAATTTTGACATACATTAAAAATTTTGGATGACACTACGACCAGATACACGACCTGTGAAAATATCTACCACAGGTAATGTAACTAATTCCTGTCATTCAATAATAAGCATTTTCCCATGACGTGTCTTGTGTAGGGATTGTGCCAGGAAATGTTACCATCACGCAGACGGTCCACACTTCATCCCCTCCTGAACCCAGCGAGAATGAAGCAAGGAAAGGGACTTCTGTCATCACCATTGTCGGGTATTCGGCTTCGTGCTCAGTTGTCAGCATCATCGTCACAGCCATAATTTGTCTTGTGAGACGCAAACGACAGAAAGGTGAGGGATCGAACAATTATTATTGCACAGGATATCAATAAGCTCCACAATAAAACCTCTTGTGATTCTTTCCATAGAAACGTTCATCATTCTCTGTCACTTGCCCCAAAACCTTTTGGGAGGGTAAGAACATAGCAACCAATTGAGTGGGTGAGGTGGGTTTAACGCCGCTTTTAACAGTATTCTAGTTATATCGCGGCGTGTCAGCTTAATGTGGGAGGAAAGCCTGAAGTGATAAAGGTATCAGACGTTTACCACTTCGGTGAAACCCACGAACGCGGATATGGTGCTGACAAACCAAGAAACATAATTTGGGCGAACCGGGATTCGAACCCACAATCATAGGCTTCTGGAGTACCCAAGGGACGCAACGCTGCACAGCGAATCGCGGCGCCTTAGACGACATGGCCACCCGTGCCCCCCATATAGCAACCAATGCTTGTAAGAGGCTTCTTAGTGGATTGTGTGGTCAGCTCGGTCATTTGGTTGATTGCTTGTCATCGTGTCCCTTCTGTAAAGTTTCTGCTTACTCGATTATGTAGACCGTCGTCATATGGCTGAAATTTTGCTGAGTAAGTCGTAAATCAACAAACAAACAACACCATAAAATCTGACTGTCCCAAAACCCTCAGCGTGTACCGTGATGTACTGATATTCCATCTGTTGAACACACTCACATGTATATGCCTCAGGTGAGATCACATGTCAAGCGGGAGAACTTACTTTTGTGAGAAATGTAAAGGCTATGATTTCAAAAAATCTTAATTTCATTCGTTTTTTTCTAAATCAAATATTATTTTTTTATTTTGTTCTTTCAAACGTACCTTAATTCCAATAATTCAGCATTTGTAATAAACGTTCCACTAGAAGCTAGGCTGATCACTTATTGTTGATTGGCCATTGTTTATCTAAACTGAAATCAGTGTTTCAATTTCAGGGATCGGGAACAGAAGGTAAGCATTACCAAGCAACTTAAACCGGCTATTTGATTCTTCATATCAATTGTAACTCAATGATGTATCAATAGAAATTATGTGCTAATAAAAAAAGGATTTGTTCTTGTCCACAGGCTTCCTGTATTGTATATCACTCCGAAATACGACGAGAATGAAGAATACGCCACTATTGAAGATTGTTAAGAATCTGGCCATGATTAAAGTGACAATGTCCGTTCGGACATAGTGTCGGGTCGTTATTTCGCTTGTGTAACAGTCTTGTGACCTCTCTGATTCCTGGATTTATTTCCGACACCGCTCAGTTAAATCCGCGGTCGTCAGTGTCCAGTGTCATTACATTCTGTGTTAGGGAATTAGTTGCCCGACTATTTCATTCTTTTGTGATCTAATGGCTCTCTCATACCATGTATTGAATCGATGTATGTTATCTCTTAATATGTTCGCTATCTTATTCTTGTATTGAAAATGTCTTTGTAACTATGATTTTCAAACGTTAGGGGAATCTATATGTACCATCAGATATTTCTCATTTATTCTCATTACTTCAGTATAGATATAGTAGTTAGTTTGCTATTCGTGTTTTCCCTGTGTTTAGAATCACAGTTTGGCTAAGCGCCCTAGTCTGTTGTGTATTCCAGCTGTCCAGGAGAGATTGACCTCTCTGAGGTCCCGCGCGCAGCATATTTATACTTCTGTCGTATCGTGTCTCATTACCCCCAAGGTTTTGTTAAATCGTTTACGATGTCTCACTACTGGGATGGTTACGTTCGATACTCATGTTTCATTAGTAAGTTGTTATGGGACACTGTTCGATCTAAGTTCTGACTTAGTCTGATTGTACTGCGCCAAAGTTAGTAGCTAGGGTTTGTAAAACTCAGTTTTTCTAGTAATCCATGGATAATCAACCCTCCCGTGATTGTCTAGCTATTTGGGAATTTTAGTATTTCCTTGTTCAGTCAGAGTGACTGAAACTTTACTCGATCAGACTAGTTTCATATTAAGACGTACTCGTCTATTTTGTGACTTAAGTGACTTACTTTGGGGATTGGCCCTCTGTGTTTATCCCGTTATTTAACCCAGCCGAGAATACTCACTCATTAGAGTGTCGAGTTAATTGACTCAGGTAATAATTGGTCGAAGCAAACTTAATTGGCTGTCTGCGCATCTGGTCGGTATCTTGTCAAAGTGTTGCTTTCGCTCCACTCATTTTATAACTGTAATACTTTTGCTTAGCTAAGCTGCTTGTGTATTTGCTCTATTATAAATAATCAGTGATCTTTGTCAGCGTAGATTGTTTTTTTCTGATCTTTTATTGTTATCTATTACTACAATTATCTCTTATTAATAAACCTGTGAACCTATTACCGCGTTTGCATTATTTCTTTATTCTTGTTTAATAACAGCCCTAATCAGCTCACAGAGGAACTGAAAACATCAGATCCGTTTAGATATATTTGGAACACATGCTCGCCATCATTGCTGACATTGCCTTTTATTAACATTCACTCTTTCATTGGACTGGTCGTAACTACATATCTTCTTGCATATTGACGGTAGGTAAGACTTTATGAATGAGTAATACGATCAAAGACTACGCCCACCGGGAAAAAATAATGACTATATTTTATGCTGTTCAGTGATGATGTCGCTAAGGTGCACAAACCAGACAACCCAGCTAACACACGACGTTGTCACAACGTTGTGGAAAGGTTGTGGATTGGTAACGTCGTGAAATAACGTTGTCACAACGTTATTATAACGTCAACGTGCAACGTTATTTCACAACGTTATAACAACGTTGCACATTCACGTTGTGAAAACGTTGTGCATCGGACATCGCACAACGTTTTGTAACTACGTTTCTGAAACGTCGGTGAAACGTTATAAAGTTTGCTTCTTGATAGTCATAAATGAATAGAACTGCTTTATCAAAATCAACATGAATTTGTCAGAATACCAAGGCAGTAATGCATTACCTTTCTGTATATCCGGCATTTCAATTTTCATCTCTTAATACTAAAATTTCCAGAACGTAATTGCGTATCTCTATTACAACGTTAGTATTACGTTACATTGTAACGTTATTCCACAACGTAACAACAACGTTGCAAATTAACGTTGTTATAACGTTATGCTTTGGACATTACAACACTTTTGGTAAATGATGTTTAGGAAACCACTTGTAGATCTACCATCTCGTAGTTTTATTTTTTTTAACATATATATCTATGAACGAAGTTATCTGTCTACTAAATGTTGTCTGAAGCAAAATTACAGTTAAAAACACATTGGCGCGCATTTTTAGCGGCGTGAGAGCGACTGCTGAAAAGTTTGGCCTGTTGCCTCGTGAAGTGACGTCAAAATGACGTCACATTGTCGCGGAAGATTTGTTGTCACCAGCCATCTTAGTTCAAACTCACTCTGGATATATTACAACCAAGTGATTGTGCAGCAACGGGAACTGGACAGATGATCTGTGAATTCGGATAAGGTTAGTTATTTTTCAAAAGCAGTCTCCGCTCGTTGATATGTTTCTGTACATGCAGATAGTCAAATGATTTAAATGTATCGTATTATTCAGAAGTGGCGGGGTTTAGAATGCCGTTTGCCGGTCACTTTCACTGAGCTGAGCGTCAGTGTTGATAGTAATATTTGATACACAGAACGTGATGTATATAGAGGTGAAGAAAGCCCATGACTTTTTACCATATTATTATTTTATGGATACCAAGGGTAATTACCAAGGGCAAGCAGTAGGTATATGTTTGACCAGAATTCAGTCTGGCGGCGTTTTGTGGTCGTCATATTATGTTCGGTTTTCGATCGTAAGCGTATAAGGTCTGTAGGCCTAAATAGGCCTAACGTATGCATCGCCTACTGACCACTGACAGTTATCGCCATTTCTTCCGTGTTATTTCTG